CCCACCTCACAAAGGAGAACGACAGGTAAGGCATATTTGACATACAATCCTCTCTTCAAGAAGGCTATCCAATTCAGGAACCTGGTAAGAATATTTAATATTGACCAAATAGCAGAAGGTGTGTGATAAGAAGCTACCTAAACTTTTTCCAGCAGTAAAACTAACTCACCGGGTAGGAGTAAATTCTTTAGGGTAAAACTTTAAAAGTCTCAGATTCCAGATTTATGAATTACTAGCTGACTCATCCACTTAGCAATTATGTCCAATAATTGCAAAAACTCCTTTTATCCCTTTCTTGGTTATTTAAGTCTTTCTTTCCTGTTTCACTTTCCCCATGTTTATATTTTGTCTTATCATCTGGGCCCTAAAAATTCCTTGCAAGTCCCAGCTATGTACTATTCACAATCCCTTGCACATGGTTGGTCCTTCAATATTCATCAGTTTAATTTGTACCTGAAAAATGTATAATGTGGCTCAACAGTTCGTGACTTCTCCAGAATAGGACTTACATTGTCACCAACTGAATAGATAGATCCACATGGAGAACAGACCCACAAAGGCTCATCTTCTATGGTTTGAGAATCAAGTCTCACTTACTAATAAATACCCATGTCTATAGTCCAATCCATTCCCCCCAGGCTCCATACTGTAAAAGTAAGAAAAGGAATTAGAACATAAAACAGGAACTGTCTTCAACCTCTGCTCTAAGTCTTCCTGGCACAAGCATCGTGACAGATTTATACGGTGTTCTCAACCACAGGTGGCCGAGCAGCTTATCAACCCTTTTGGAGAAGATGATGATGATTTTGAAACGAACTGGTGCATTGATAGAAATCTGCAGGTTAGAGAAACTTTTCTTTCCCTTACAAACATTACCAATAAACTACTTATGACATTTGAAATGGAAGAGTCTGGATGTCGGCCCTTGGACTTTCACAAATGAAAGACAACGATCTGTTGTCTCAGAAGCTTTTGGAACATTTTATGTCCTAGTTCTCGATTCCAGTGAAATTTAGTTCCCTTTAAGTGGAATTTCAAGTTAATATTTATACTGTTTCTCTGTGACTTTTACCCAGCCTCTTCCACTCTGGTACAGGGCAGTATTTTAATTCATCCTTGAATGTGTTCTGTTGCCACCGGGAGAGATGAACAGTGACAGAGAATGCCATCCCAATACAGTCCAATGTGAGTGCCCAGACTTGTTATCACATGGACCCCAGCAGTCAGACATCCAGCAGTTAGACACTAGGAGACGGGGTCATGTTGCCCCATGTCTCAAATCTGCCTGAAAGGTACAAAATGAAACCCAGGACCCATATTCTGAAGCACTGTACTAGAGAACTTTTCATGAATAACCAGCATGTTGTAATTTTTCTTTTAGGCAAGACTCTCCTCAGATCATTCTCTTCCCTGAGACCCACAGATTGAGTAAAGGTCTTTGCTTCATTCATTTGTTTCGAGCCCTTACTCAGCTCTTAAATATGTGGATTCAAACATTTCACAGCAGAGGGACCAGCAGTTAGCGTAATGGCTATGTCGCTAAACCCCCATGTAGTTGGCTGCGGTTCGAGTCCTGAACCCGGTGGCTTAAACTCACGCCAGCAAGATCCCGGGAGGAGAAAGGAGGAGAAAGGATTGTGGCGTGGTCATCCTCCCTTAGGGGGAGGTGATTTCTTGCTTTCTGTCTCTCTGTCTCTGTCTTTCTGGTGAGCGCATGTGCCCTATAGCAAAAACCTCTAAAAAAAAAAAAAAAAACTTTTCACAGCAGATCACATTGTCAGTCTTTCAAGGAAGAAACGTGATACCTAGCTCACTTACTCTTGGTCAGAATTGGATTCCTAGAGTATTAATAATTTATGGGACCAGCAGATGGCATAATGGTTATATCACTGGACTCCCACATAATCGACTATTGTTTGAGTCCCAGCCCTGACAGCGTCAAACTCTGGGCGTGTGTGGATGCGTGCTCAAGATCGCAAGAGGAGAATGGAGGAGAAAGGATTGCAGTGGCCATCCCTCCTGGGGGGTGATTTCTTGCTCTCTGTCTCTCTCTCACTCTCTCTGTCTCTCCAGAGAGCACATGCACGCTAGAGCAAAAATCTCTCTCTAAATTAATAATAATAATAATTTGTGTGTCACTTTGTCCAAACCAAGAGAAGAGATCACTATAGCTTCAAGCAGTATAGGCTTGTTGATACGCATTTCCAAACCAACAAGAAATCAGGGGCATATAAGAAGTGATATCAAGTAAAAATGTGTTTATGGGATAACAAAATGACTTATTGAGAATCTTCAGCTCCCGTGGCATCTGGGGCGAAGTGCTTGCTGTCAGGGTAGATGCTAAGACAAAATCGTCACAGTGAAAAAAGAAGGAAATGTCCCTCTCCCCTCCAGAAGCTGCAGCTCCACTTGGGGCAGATGACTGGAGGGCGGAGTGTGGGCAGTTTCACGGCCCCCTCAGGTCTGGCCAAGTGCTCTTGAGCAGCAGCAGGTGTCACTGCCGCAGCCCCAGAGGCACAGTGAACTAGGAACATTTCTGTATTTGCTTCTTTAGACCAAGTCCTATCCTTCTGACTCCAACCCACCCACTGGAACTTCTCTTTTTTATATCATTCACATCTGAGCTAGACTAACAATGTGACAATGATTTTAGGTCTCTCTTTTAGCTGTGGATGAAATGCACATGAGCTTACCCAAGATGAAGAAGGACATTTACTGGGACGATTCTGCTGCTCGACCACCGTACACACTGGCAGCTGCCGACTACTGCATACCCTCATTCCTGGGGTCAACAATCCAAATGGGGTAAGAGCATTTTTTTAAATATCTTCAACATTTAGGAAATCAGTAAATCACCATTCTCATCTTTTTATTTAAAAAAAATTTTTTTTCAAGCTGCAATTTGCAAATAGGTCATCCTCTGTTCAGTGGGTTGTTTTGTTTTGTTTTGTTTTTCAGAGAGTTTTTTACTATAGGGCACATGCATTCACTAGAGAGACAGAGAGAGAGAGTGAAAAATCACCTCTTGGGGGGATGGCCATGCTACAATCTCTTCTCCTCAATCTCCTCTCAGGATTTTGGGCACACACACACTCACGCCCAGCATGAGTTTCAAGCAGCCAGGTTCAGAACTCGAACCATGGTCAGCCAGGTGGAGTCTAGAGCCTTAACCACTCCACCACCTGGTAGCCCCCTGTTCAGTGATTTTAATGTAATAATTTGTCCTTCTATACTATAACTCTGAAATAAATAGGTTGAGGTCTCAATCAGTCATACATGGTTCTGGAATAGTTTCATAAAATCTGATAATGCATTTGATTTTGGAGAAATGTGTGAATGTGGGGGAAGTGTAAGTGTATTTGTTAAAGGCAGATACCACAATTTCCAAGTAACTTAAACAGGAGAACATGGACAAATTTAGAAAGTAAGAAAAACCCCATCCCCCCCAAAAAAAAAATATGTACAAAAAGGAAAAGCTTTTGTGGACATTTTCTTAAAACTCTTGGCAAAACAGTGGTTCCTTGTTCCCTGAGCCCAGTTCCAAGCAGATTCGTGAATTAGATTTGTGTCCTATGGTTGCCACCTCTGACCTTTCCTGCCCTTCCTCCCCAAATGGTTCTGCCCTCCTCTTTTCTTGCTGTGAGGCTATCTAGCTTTAATCATTTTCCTACTGCGCTTTCTCTTAACCAAATCTCCTAATCCTCATGCACATGATTTGTTACACTCGCTTTCAAAGGGGACTCTGAGGGTGAAAATCTTCCAAGATCCAAAGAAAAAGGATGCCTGAAAGTGGAATTTCAGGAGTTTTGGCAAATGAGAAAGATTTAGAAGGCAAGAGATTTGCCCTGTTGCCTTCATAATGCACCCCGGAGAAGGTTTCCTACTCTAGACTGGACTTGGCTTCTGCTCCTGGAGAGCTTCCAAAGACTGGGTCTCCCATCAAAAGCTCCTCTCAGCCTAGGGAGCTCATCCCTATCTCCAGTCTGATACCCAGTCCCATGAATGGGGATCCCCTGCTGTGAATACTTCTCAGCCTTTGAAATACCTTCTACAGCGGCAGAGCTTCATGAGCATCTAGCAATCCTCTCAATACTGAAAATTAATAAGAGATTCTTAGGGACCAGCAAATGGCATTAGGGTTATGTCACTGTTTGCCCATGTGGTCGACTGTGTTCGAGTCTCAGACCAGGAAGCTTAAAACTTACACAGGGCACGTATATGTGCATGCCCAAAATCCTGAGGGGAGAATAGAGGTGAAGGGATTGATTGTGGTGTGGCCATCCCCCCTGGGGGGTGATTATTTGCTTTCTGTCTGTCTGTCTCTGTGTCTCCAGCAAGTGCACACGCCCTATAGCAAAAAGCTCTCTCTCAAAAAGAAAGATTTGTATCTGTAAATCTATTTCTATATCATTAACTATCCTTCATCCTCCCCCATTGATTAATACAAAGCATTTGAAGAACTAACTTGTAAGAGAAAAGAAACCAACACCATTGACAGGGTCAGGAGGATTGAGGTGGTTGTATTCAGACCGTGCAGGTCCCGCTTGTTCCACTTCTCATGCCCATTTAGTTTGCTTTTACATAATGGTTCGAATGCATTTGGGAATGAAGGGATCTCAAGATTTTTGTCAATGTCCATGCTCCTTAGAAAGTATTAAAATGTAGGCCCAGCAGATAATGATGAAGGCAACTGGATCCCAAATTGTTCACTGTGGTTCAAGCCCCAGACCAGTGGTTTACAAAATACCCAAGGTTCACATTTTCAGGAAGAAAATGGAGGAGAACTGAATGTGGTGTGGCCATCCTCCCATAGGGGTGATTTCCCCCTTTATTTCTCACTGTCTCTCTCTGCCTCTTTCCTCACCCTCTCTCCTCTCTGGTGAGCACATGCATCCTCTGGCAAAAACTTGAAAGAAAGAAAGAAAGAGGAAGGAAGGAAGGAAGAAAGAAAGAAAGAGGAAGGAAGGAAGGAAGAAAGAAAGAAAGAGGAAGGAAGGAAGGAAGAAAGAAAGAAAGAGGAAGGAAGGAAGGAAGAAAGAAAGAAAGAGGAAGGAAGGAAGGAAGAAAGAAAGAAAGAAAGGAAAAAGAAAAGAAAAGTTAGCCTCATACCCAAAATCCCGAGAGAACAATGAAGTAGAAAGCCTTGCAGCATGGCCACCCCTCCTGGGTCAGTCTGAGTTTGGTTTCTGTCACAGGCAACCAGAAACACTATTTTTTAATACCACAAGCCTAGGCAGAATTCATATCAACAGATCAGAAAGGGCAT